TATTGTTGTAAGTCATAACAAACAGTGTCACATGCATAGGTCGCTTGTTGCTTATGTGAAACCAAGCCACTTGTGCACCAGTCTAGTACATATCGTCGGTTAAAGTACAAAACCGCGTATCGTCATTCTGCAAAACGGCGTAACTGACATTGGCTGCCAAAAATTGGATTTGCTCCCACAAGATCATGGCTCAATCCTTATCCATTCGTCCTGAAATATACTAGCCAGAATTACGATTGCTTTATAAAAAAGATAACCATTTTGAAATATGAGTGTTTTTACTCTCTAGAAAATAATTTATGCAACCTCACGTACGCGGTTTTGCATTATCTTGATACGCGGTTTTGCATTTGTTTGATATGCGGTGTTGTACTTTAAACGGCTATATGTATGTATGTATACACTATACACTAATATTCTACATTAAGAAGGAATTCATTTACTGAATAAAATGTGAGGAATAGATAAATTAAATATGTTTTGCGTTGTTATAAATGTATTGAAATAAATTTATTAATAAAAACGTGAGGAAATGGATATGTATATACACTTTTTACTGAAACAAAAAAATTATTAAACATGATAATAAAAACTTGGCGCTTTTTTTTGGAAAAATTGGCTTTTTCTGGTGGCCTGATGCCACACTGACTCAGTTGTCGCAAAAGTACACATACATACACACATTTTTACTTGAAAATAGGTGTGTAGTGGTTAATATGTATACGATGCCATCTTCGTACAGCGCACTTCACCTCGGCTAGCAGGCTCGCGTGCTCGCAGTTTGCCCGCGACGTCGACTGCGTGCACCTCTGCTGTGCATCCCTACTGTATGGCATCAAGCGCTGCTCCACTGTTCATATTAGCGTGGTCTAAATGCAATATGTCGTTTATGTGCACTACGTGTTTGCAACGCGTTTAAAACAGTTTCGGACATCGCGGCGTTCGTGATATCCGGTCTGCTTCCAATTGACATATTGGCCAAAAAATCGGTCATGTTCTTTTCAAGCCAAGAAGACGGTCTCCAGAGAAGCCATGTACGGCAAACCGGCCTGTTAGAATGGCAGCGCAAATTCAACAGCACACCTAATTGGCGATGGACGCATCGCTGTATTCTGGATATTGAACGATGGACAAAGAGGTATCATGGAGAAGTAGAGTTCCATCTAACTCAATTTTTAAGCGGTCATGGCTGTTTCCAGACGTACCTTTACAAATACAAACACGATAGTGATCCGTACTGTGACTTCTGCGGAAAAGGCACCATCCAAGACCCGGAGCACATACTTCTACTGTGCCCACGATTCAGCGAACAGAGACGTAGACTCCAACAGTATATCAATGCAGCACCGTCTTCAGAAGCTGTAGTAAATTATATGTTGAGAGGTAGAGAGGAATGGAGTTTAGCCATCAGTGAAATAGCGTCAATTATGAAATGCTTGAGATGTCGAGAGCGGCAGAGACGTGCAATAGGTATGTAATGCAAAACCCGGATTGGAATCTAAGCCGTTCCAACCGCCAAGACAATGCGGCTCTGAAATTCGCGAACCCGAAGAGTATGTGCGGATTGGAACCTAGCTCGTTCCAACCGCCAAGGCAGGCGGCTTAGAAACTATATTTTCAAACCATCTCCCCAACATAGCGTCGGCGCGGATTGGAACCTAGGCCGTTTCAACCGTTAAGGTAGTAGGAGCGAATTGGAACCTAGATCGTTCCAACCGCCAAGTTTATGCGGCTTAGAAACTGGTGCTCTCAGACCGCCTCTCCAACATGAAGTTCATTTACCAAAGGGTAGGCACGGATTGGAACCTAGGCCGTTCCAACCGCCAAGGCAGTACACATAAACGTACACGGGCTTGAGGTTCGAAATTTGTGAATGCCTATTTAACGAAACTACCAGCAACAGGGCTGCTCAAAATCTGGTCCGACCGCTACAAGAAAAATCATCTGTAACGAGTGTCCTCACTATTCCAAATAATTATAATATAATTATCGTGTTTGTATTTGCTTTTTACTTCAGGTAAGGCAAAATAATAAGAGATACATAAATAAATACATAGTAGAAAAAGAAAAAGAGTTTCACTATCATTAAGGCGTGGCAGGTAGAGCCCAGGACTGAGTACATTTGACTGGAATGTACGTGAGAGCTTAGTGCTCAAACCGCCTCCCGACGGAATACTTGACGGTGGTGCCGGGGAATCGGTACTTGGACAGTAGGAAGTTTAATTAAAGTCTTACACAGACGGGTACAGGCTTTTGATGCTTCCTCCTTGTTTAGCCGCGTCAGCTAACACCAGGCGCCTAAATACATGCTATGTACTGCTGCATGTGCAAAAATTTCCTTCATGCAATTTATGAAATTGTGCATATGCACATCTCAACTACCATGTAATTGAACTTTCTTAAGTTTTAATTAAATGTCACTTCAAAGTATGCTCGGCCTAGTCTGATGCATCCTCCGCACATTGCTTCCGGAGCCTTTTGCGGACTCTGTATAGCTTACAACCATGCAGAGGTGGTAATAGTTGATTACCATTGGCCACAGTGCCTATCAACTACTTTTTGGTCTAATAAATATTTTTTTATATACATGCATGAGTTATTCATGGTCCTTCGAGCCGGATATTTGCGGCTTTTATTATATCCACTAGACGACCAATCCGTCGCGAGAGGCCGGTATGTTTAGGCGCGTCTGCTAACACCAGGCGCCTAAATACATGCTATGTACTGCTGCATGTGTAAAAATTTCCTTTATGCAATTTATGAAATTTTTGCATATTAACTTCTCAACTACTTTCTTAAGTTTTAAAAAGATGGAACTTCAAAGTATGCTCGGTCTAGTCTGGTGCATCCTCCGGACATTGCTTCCGGAGTCCTTTGCGGACTCTCATTGCTTACAACCGTGCAGAGGTGCTAATAGTTGATTACCATTGGCCACTGTGCCTACCCACTACTTTCTGGTCTAATAAATATTTTTCTATGTACATATATTAAACATACTGGTCTCCCCTCTCACTGAGTTATTCACCCCTCGTAAACAAAAAAAAAACATTAAAATATATGTACATACATGAAAAAATTGCTGTCCATAAATACATACATATGTCCATTAGTATATCAACAAAGCACGTTTGTTTCATCATGCATATATCTCTACAAACATATGTACATATGAACGAATGGATGTAGTTACACGAACCACCCTTGCTTCATTTATATATTGCTTGTTAGCGGCAGAAATTTTTATTTATTAATTTTGTTAGGTATTAAATATGGATTGAACTAGTTGTGTTAAGTTCGAAGATATGGCAACCTGCGTGTTGTAATACAAGTAGATAAAATAAGAAAAGGGCATTGGCAACGCTAGAATAAAGGAGAAAAAGAAGTGAAGTTGAAAAAGAAAGAACGGAGGTGTCTTGGTTGTGTTGGGGAATTGCTTGGGTTTGTGTTTGGATAGGATTATGGGTTTTATTGCAGCATCCATGAATTGTGAGACTGGAAGGTTACATCGAGGAAGTAAACATTGGTCCGTGTAGAGCCGGATTGTATTTACAGGTGATCGCGTTCAGCGGAGGAAAATCTAATTCCAAGAAGCTCTCATTGTAGATGTACATACATATATGAGTGCAGATTTGAGCGATACAGTGTGGTGACATTGAGTATTCACGAAAAGTAAGGGACAGAGAAAAAAAAAAGACTCAAACGTAATCGATCATCTTTGTGTTGTTACGTTTGGGTTTTCGTCTTGTGGCAACCTTTGTCGTATAAAAAGTAAAAAGGTGAGAGAACCTAGATTTGGGGTAGATGCCGTTTTCGGAATATTTTGTTATACAGTCCACCTTCCGTGTATTTATATACGAAAGGATTCAACAAATGGTTGAATATTTACGAAAAAATTCAACAAAGGGATGAATATTTACGAAAGAATTCAACAAATGGTTGAATGTTTACGAAAGAATTCAACAAATGGTTGAATATTTGCGAAAGAATTCAACAAACGGTTGAATATTTACGAAAGAGTTCAACAAAGGATTGAATGTTTAGGAAAGAATTCAACAAATGGTTGAATATTTGCGAAAGTTCTCAACAAATGGATGAATGTTTAGGAGAGTTCAACAAATGATTCAATATTTAATATGGTGAATATTGGCGTTTATAGCTTTTTGGGCGAAATGTGGTTAAACTGAAATCGATGGTTTGGAGCTGTGCTGGAATATTAAGATCAGGCGCTACTGACATTTCGAGTTCAGACAGAACCTCGAGATGGTATGAAACATTGTTAACTGCTGAATTGGCAAGCTTTCTGGTGAGTGGTGAAAAGTCACCAGAGTTTATTACTCGGATTGAATTTACATCAACGTAAATGTATGCAATTTGTGTGACTATGTTGGGTATGCGTACAACGTGTGGTGGATGTGTAAAAGCTCAATATGTATACATGTGAAAACAAAAACTCGTTTTTGGTCGCAAGCGTAAGAGCTGGGTATGGCTGGCATATTTACATACATCCATACATAAGTGCTTCGATGTAGAGGAAGCATACTGGCACACATAATATTTCAAGCGAATTGAGTGACACGATTGGCATTCGAAAGAATAGCAAATTGTGCAGCTGATTTGGGTTTAATGTTCTTTGAATATTTTATTACCGCTCAGCAGTACGGAAACTCACTCAAAGCAATAGAAATTCAGAGAATTCAGACGAAATCGTAACGAAAGAGAATATAAAGTGGTGAATAGTTGAGGGAACGAGTCAAATTATAGTTGGGCGTTGTGTTCAGAGCGAAAAGCAGCTTGTTTAGCTATATCGATGGTGAAAGGTTTATTCGCATCTTGCGTAAAATAATTTTACAAAACTGAATATAAGAGGTAGAAGACAGGTCTAAATCACATATAATTGTTAGCAGAAAGACATGTCTGAATAATTTTTGTATTTTATTTTATATTTAGCACAAGATGGAAGAGTTGGCTGAGAGTTTAAGCAAAACCATATCTCGCATCGAAGAGTATACTCGACAGCCAGAGTTTAGAGACGCAACTTTGGAGCAGGTAAAGGTCCGGGCGGACAAGTTGGAGAAATATTATGAGCGTTTCATAGAAGCGCACCAAAAGCAAGTAGAATGTGCACCTAAAAAGGCAAATAAGTATGATGAAATGGCTGCGCAGGTTGAAACATTTTATTTTGCAGCTCATTCGGCTCTTATAGCCAAAGTAAATGCTCTAAAGCCAGCTCCACCTTCCGCTATACAACAACCGCTGGCAGTGCAGGTGAACTGGCCTTATCAGCAACATGATTTAAAAAATACGTGGGGAGAATTCGACGGCACAATCACGAAGTGGCCCGGTTTCCGCGACCGGTTTATAGCAGCTATACACAGCAATGACAATGTTTCGCCAGCATTTAAATTTTCGTATTTGAAAAAGTCCTTGGTAGGGAAGGCGGCGCGAACGCTGGGGGAATGGCAACTAACTGACGACAATTATATTGAAGCGTGGGATCGGCTTAAGCAGTTGTATGATAGAAAGTATCCAATCTGCCGAGAGCATTTGCGTCAACTGTTTCGCTTGCCTGCCGTTGAGGGTTCACCGCGGTCTAATGACTTACAACGCATGTCTAATGTTACACACGAAGCATTACGCCAGCTTCGTGCTCAGGAAATTCCTGTAGAAGGTTGGGACATGATTATCGTTCCTATACTCCATGAGCGGCTAGATGCGGAGACTAGCAAACAATGGGAACTCCAACGTCAATCGGAGACGCCAACAATCAAGCAATTGTTAGACTTTTTGGATCGCCAGGCATCTGCTCTGGCAAATGTGGCTGATGTACGTCGATCGCGTATCCATATTCGACACGAGGCTACAGGGACTAGCCGCGGTTTAGAGGGTAATGGAGAGCGTGCTAGGCGAGACCAGGGGTCATATAGCACAGCTGTTAAAAAAGCGATTGCTTGTGCTGCATGTGGGCGTGATCATGCAATTTGGACGTGTGGTGAATTTATGGGCCTTACCTTACGAGGACGCGAGGACTTGGTAAATAAGAATAACCTTTGTCGAAATTGCTTAAAACGTGGCCATATGGCTGGCAGTTGCTTTCAAGGTGTTTGCCCACGTTGCTCAGGGCAGGTGAAACACAATAGCCTGCTGTGCCCTAAAAAGGAAATAACGAAACATGCACTTATAGTTAAGAATGTAGATGCTCCTTGTACACGCAAAGACAAGAGATGCTCAACAAAACGACAGCGAGATGTAGCTGTCAGTCGCGTTTATTCTGCACAGGTTAATCATTCCGAAGATTTTTCGGATATTGACAACGAGATCAAAAGAGTTGATAGGCAATTGAGTTTACTTCATAAGCAAGATCAATTGTTAAAGAAGCGCAAGGTAGTTTTCGAACAGGAAAAAGATTGTAATACGAGTAATATCAAAGAGAGAGAAATAAATGCTAATCAGCAATATGGCGGTTCGTTTAACTTTGGTTTAGATTTAATGCCTGCTCTGTTGCCGACTGTTATGATCAGGTTAGAAGCGGATGGGCAATGTATCGGACCTGTTCGAGCATTATTCGATTGTGGGGCGCAGCCGAACTTGATTGCGTCTAGCCTGCACAACAGGTACAAACTCCCTGGTTTGCCAGCAACACACAAGATGATTGGGATTGAGGGGCAGTCTATCGATGTAAGTCGGCGTGTAGTTTTGAAAGTAAGGCCATGGTTTGACTCAGGCAGCTATATAGAGGAAGAATTTTGGATATTGCCTAGTGAAAATAACTGGGAACCTGTACTGCCGAATACTGTGGGTAGAGCACACCCTATAAGTACGTCTCTGTCTATACAGTTCGCTGATCAAGAGTATTGGAAGCCTGAGAAAGTACGCGTTATTCTCAATGTTAAAGTATTTGCAAAAGTCTTGGTCGCAGTGCATCCCGTACAGTCAGAAGGGACGGCGCTTATAGAAACTCGTTTAGGTCTAGTCGTCTGCGGTACTCAGGTTCCAATTGATGGCGACACAGGCACACCGACTTCATATATTAATTGTACAATTTCTGAAGATCTGGGTGAGCTGGTTAAGCGGTTTTGGCAATTAGATGAAATTGCTACGTGTTCCAAGCGCACTGAAGAAGAAGAAAAGGTCGAACGAATTTTTTTAGAAACATATTCTCGTGATAGTACAGGAAGATTCACGGTCACAATTCCAATAAAAGAGAATATAAGCGATATTGGGTGTTCAAGGGATATTGCACTGCAGCGATTTTGGTCTTTGGAAAAAAGATTGAGCCGAGATTCTGAATTGAAAAAACAGTATGTCGAGTTCATGAGGGAGTATGAGCAACTAGGTCACATGGAGCAAGTTTCCAAACCCGCCACGCCGGGTGAGATGGTATACTACATCCCTCATCTCTGCGTAATTAAGAAATTTAGAGTAGTTTTTGATGCCAGCTGCAGAACAAATAAGGGCATTTCTCTAAATGATGTACAGATGTTGGGCGAAAAGCTACAGCGCAATCTAACAGAAATTATTATGAGATTCCGTAGGCATAAATTTGGGGTCATTGCAACGCATTTTTTGGAGGGAGTATAGCAGTGAACCTTTGAGAGAGTATTGCTTGAAGATTGTTACTTATGGAATGACACCGTCAGCTTTCAACGCAGTTCGAGCGGTTATACAGTGCGCGAGGAATTTCCAGCAGCCTCTAGGATAATTGAAAATGATTTGTATATGGATGATTGCATTACCGGAGCAGAAAGTGAAGATAAAGCGATAGAGATGGCGAAATCAGTGCAAAAGGTGTTAGCTGGGGGAGGTTTTCAAATGAGAAAGTGGAAATCGAACTCCAAAACACTGATAACAGACATGCGGTCGGATGAAGAAGAGGACAGTATGTTCAGAGACGAGGAAAGAGCCACAGTTCTAGGACTTAAATGGAATATTACTCGAGATCAATTCACCTTTGTTGTAAAGACTCCAGAGGTTGAAGGTTTGGTTACCAAAAGGAGAGTTTTGAGCTTGGTGGCGCAGCTTTATGACCCTAACGGGTATATATCTCCTGTTACAATGATGGGAAAAGTACTGATACAAGATTTGTAGCGCCTTGGTATAGAATGGGATACACCCGTGGGTAACGGAATAGAAGAGATTCAAAAGATTTTGGGAAGATATGAAATGCCTGGAGGGGTTCACTTTAGATAGATGGATAGGCACTGGTGATGGCCAACGTGTTGAGCTGCATGGGTTCTCTGACGCGTCAACATTAGCATATGGTGCCCTAATTTATGTACGAGTGGAAAACGGAAACGGAGTCGCGAAAACAACCTTGCTTGCATCCAAATCACGGGTAGCGCCCATGAAAACTGTTGCAGTGCCCAGGTTGGAGTTGGCTGCCGCGGAGCTTTTATCACGTTTGCTGGTTGAGGTTATGAGAGCTATGGAATTTTCTGAAATAAAGCATACGTTGTGGACAGACTCTCAGGTGGTATTGCACTGGATTGGTAAAATTCCACGGGACTTGAAAACGTTTGTAGCAAATCGCGTTTCGTCGATACAAACGAACACTGATATAAAAAAGTGGAGATACATTAATACGAAAGATAATCCAGCCGATCTATTAAGTCCCGGTATGAGGCCATCAGATATTATAAACAATAAGCTGTGGGTACAAGGTCCGGAGTGGTTAAATCAGGAATCGACGTGCTGGCCTGATTGTGTGTTTGTGCCAAACACAGCGGTGGAGGCTGAAGTTGAGTTTAAAGTGTTTTCGGTATCAAACACCAAGGAGCCATTGCAGATTTCCAGACGTACTGCGAAGCAGAAGGTAGCAGTAATAGACTATGTTGATAAATTGGAGAGAGCGGTCAATATTGTTGCCTATCTATTTACATTTATTGCGAACGCAAAAATGCATTCAGTAGCGAGGAGGAGGAGAAGAGGTGAAATGGAGCGCGTAGCATTAAGTAATGAGCACAGAGTCAAGGCGATGAATTTCCTAGTACGACAGGAGCAAGAGACATTTTACGACAAAGAGATTGCCTGCCTAAAAAGTGGCAAACCAATTGCGGAGAAGAGCAAAATTGAGTCTTTGAAACCGATACTAAGAGACGGTCTTCTCAGGGTTCATGGCCGCTTGAAAAATTCAAACCTAAGTGAGAATATGCGTCATCCTGTAATTGTCCCCGGAGGATCAAGATTGGGATGGCTGATCATGGATCATGCTCATCGGGAAACTAAGCATGGCAGTGCCCAGGTGATGATGCAGTTCATTCGGCAGTGTTATTGGATTCCACGTCTGCGTAGCACATTGAGACAATATTTGCATAACTGTGTGACTTATGTACGACACAGTCGTCGAATTGAATCGCAATTGATGGCAGATTTGCCTGCCGACCGAGTAAGAGCAGGTAAACCATTTTTGCACGTTGGGGTTGACTATGCAGGGCCTATGGGTATTAAGATGATTGATAGAGAAGGTAGCCAAATCACGAGACAAAAGGCATGGATCGCTGTATTCGTATGCCTGAAGACACGAGCCGTTCATTTAGATGTTGTGAGCGACCTAACAACGGTAGCATTTATTGCCTGTTACGAAAGATTTGTTGCTCGTCGTGGACGATGTGAACGAATTTACAGCGACAACGGTACAGCGTTTGTGGGTGCAGCGAAGGAAATGAGGCGAGCGGTGGATAATTGGTATAAGGAGATGTTCCAGGATTTGTCAACACAGGGTACTGAGTGGCGGTTTATGACGCCAGCGGCTCCGCACCAGGGCGGAATTTAAGAAGCTGCGGTCAAATCAATGAAGGACCATCTGATTCGAGTCATCGGGCTTCGAGTGTTGCGTTTCGAGCAATTACAGACATTACTTACACAAATCGAGGCAATACTTAATTCTCGTCCCCTACAAGCTTTGATTGATGACACAGACGATCATCAAGCTCTTACACCTGGACACTTCCTGACCGGAGAGCCATTGGTTTTGCCTTTACCTTTTGATGTATCAGACACGTCTTCAGCTAAGGGGATGCAGCTTTGGAGAGAAAGACAGCGCATGGTGAAAATGTTTTGGGAAAGATGGCACAATGAATACCTGACCTCACTTCAGGAGCGGAAAAAATGGCGAAGAAGTTCCGAACGAGTGAAGCTAGGGAAATTAGTACTCATAAGAAGCGAGAATTTCCCTCCTGCGCAGTGGGCATTAGGACGCATCATCGAACTCCACCCGAGTACGGACAACTTGGTGCGATCCGTGACGATTCAGACCTCGACAAATATTCTCCGTCGACCCGTGCAGAAGATTTGCATCTTACCTATTGAATTGGGCGAAAGCTAAACGCATAAGATATACTTCGGATACCATGGGAAAACCGGAGGATTTCGGCGGGATTGTTAGGTATTAAATATGGATTGAACTAGTTGTGTTAAGTTCGAAGATATGGCAACCTGCGTGTTGTAATACAAGTAGATAAAATAAGAAAAGGGCATTAGCAACTCTAGAATAAAGGAGAAAAAGATGTGAAGTTGAAAAAGAAAGAACGGAGGTGTCTTGGTTGTGTTGGGGAATTGCTTGGGTTTGTGTTTGGATAGGATTATGGGTTTTATTGCAGCATCCATGTATTGTGAGACTGTTGGGTTACGTCGAGGAAGTAAACAAATTTAATTTTGTTATTTCTTGCGGCTCTTTTGCACCTAGATCATAGCAATATTTAATTATAAGCTTAAGGCCTATTTGTAAGGGAATTCATTTATATACATACATTTAAAATGGCACGCAAAAAAGTAAATGACAACAGGATCTTAGCGAGGATAGAGATAGAACACATTAGTTATATTGAAACAGTCTTACAGTATGCAAATAATTTTATTTTCGATTCAGTTATGTTTTTATATTGGATAAAACTATTAGGTAATTCATTATAACAAGTTAGACCCTTATAATGGAGATTACTCTTATCAGACTCACATTTAAACATGGGTAAGTTAAAGTCGTTTTTTATGGGTGTTTTTGTTATGTATATCATTGCCATACTTTATTCTACCTTTTAAATATTCTGGCAGGTTACCATCTATAATGTTTTTAACGAATTTAATAGTGTAATAGAAGTGTTGTTTCTTAACACTTATGCTGCGTTTCTTTATACATTCCGGATAATCCCATTTCACAGCCGGAATAAACAGAATGCGTTTGAAATATACGTCAACATATCATCAGGAACGTTCTAAAGAATAAATAAACAAAAAAGTTTATTCCAAACATTCAGAATGAATAAAGAAATGCAGCCTTAACCAATTGAGGGCCGTCAACATGTCTCTGATTGGGGTGTCATAACGTTTTCTAAGCATAAATCTCATTGCCCGGTTCTGTTGCTTTTGCAATTTATAATTCTGCCTTTCATTAATTATAAATAATATAGTTGGGCAATAATTTAGTAGGGGTTCTATTATAGCTCTGTATACCATTATTTTATACTTTCTCTTTAATTTATACGTACGTCACATGAAGTATAACTTCGCTGCTATTTTGCTCACAGTATAATCGACGTGATCATTAAAGTTTAACTTTTCGTCGATTGTTATACCCAAATATTTAAGGCGTTGCACTCGTTCTAATATTTTCTGCTTTATATTTAATTGGCCTAAATCATTATTATCTAGGACTCTTCTAGATATAACCATACATTTGGTTTTGCTGATGTTTAATTTGAGTTTATTTAAGCATAGCCAGTTATATATTTCATCCAGATCGTTTTGAAGCTTTGAAACAATATCATTTACATCATTATTAATGTATCATCGGCAAAGAAATTGATATCGCTATACTTAATGTTGTGTGAAATATCATTAATATAAATATTAAATAAATTAGGTGCTAACACTGAACCTTGTGGTAGCCCAATCATAACTTTTCTTTCATCTGATACCGACGATCCAATCGCTGTTTTTTGCATACGATTCTTTATAAAACTTTCAAACCAAATCAGTTCGATACCCTTTATTCCTATATTGGACAACTTTCTCAATAGTAGGTCTTGATCTATTGTCTCAAAGGCACGTTTCAAATCTAAGAAATCAGCAATTATGTATTTGTTTTTGCTCAGTTCTTCTTTCCGGTGAGCAATTACCAAATTCAGGGCAGTTTCACATGAGTGCTTCTTGCGAAATCCAGACTGTTGTGGTATTAATATGTTATTAGATTCGAGGTATTGTACTAAGTGGTTTTTTACTACACATTCAAGTATTTTTTCATCATTTGGTAGTGTGTTTATTGGTCTCATCGCATTAGCTTTAATTGGTATTTTTAACCTTTTCTATTGAAACGACAGTGGATGTTTTCCAAGAAGTTGGAAAAGCACCTTCCTTTAAGCTCTCGTTAACTATATGCATGTAGAAGTATCCTAAATAAGTTACTGCATCTCTTATTACTCCTTCAGATAAAAGTTTTCTTCCTCCAATTCTATTTTTGAAACAACCAGCAATTTTAATTACTTCATCAGTTTCTATTTCTTGAAATTTAAAATTACATGCAAAATTCGGAAGTAGTCATTTAATGCTCGTGCAATATCATTTTCGGTTGTGTAAACATTGTCATG